TTATTTATTCCACTAATAAGATATGATAATTGAGTTAGAAAGTAACATTAATCTGTGTGTATGTTTATAATGATCACATTGAAATTAGAACATATGATTTTATGTAAGTTGATTTTAAACTCTCTTTATATATATATATATATATATATATATATATATATATATATATATATATTACTTAGTTTTGTAAATTGTAATTATTTAATTTGATTTAATAGTATATTTTAATTAAACGACGTGTATAATTAAATAAATTTTATAATAATACATGTTATATATCGAAGTACGTCTAATTGAATTTGCGAAGTTAAAGATAAACTGAACACTGATGTAGTCATAATCTCATCTCATAATAACCCTATGTAATAAAGGCATGTTATTATTATCAGTAGGTAGAAGGGTATTGCCTTTCTTTAAATACACATATAATAATAAAGATAATAAATAGCTATTAAGATATTTCAAAAAAAGTTTATATCAAAAATTTTTTTTTAATTTTTATTAATTATTATTATATTATGCAGTTTTTTAAAGATTAAAATTATTAATAAAAATATATACATTAAATTAGAAAATCTCCTTTATATATTATTATAGATTATTTTAACTTAAAAAATAAAATTAATTAATGAATAAATATGTCATTTCTACAACTAAAAGAAAAAAATAATAATAAAGGATTTCGTACATAAATAAATTACCTTATATGCATTGTTGTAGTTACAATCTCGTAATGTCATCTCGAAATATGCCTTTGTTAAAATTATTATTATATTTTTTTTTATTCTTTATGCATATATGGGAAATCCTTTACTCTTATCTTTTAGTTATAGAAAGGGTATACTTATTCATTTTTTTATTAAGGTTATATTTTTTCATTAACTCTATTTTTTAAAAATAATAATAATAATATTTAAATATATTTTTAATCATTTAAATTTAAGTTAAATTTACTTCTAATTTCTCAAATTTAAAGTTAATTTTTTAATCTGTGTAAATCTAAAAAAATTTATTATAATTTTTCAAATCATCAACAATATATCTAACAATCAAATTTGAAATAGTTATATAACATCACTTAAATTTAATATGATATTTTTATTCATAATAATATTAGTAGGCAAATTTAAAACAAAATATTTAATAAATTTACTAA